CTGTACATTGGTATTAATAGAACGAAGAAGTGAAGAAAAACGCATCATACAACAAAAAATGTGTTTGTACTTAAAACTAAAATTGTTTTGTTCACAATAGTAGCATAGTTTTTATTTTTGTACATACGAAGCTACTAATTATATTAATACGTTGTTGATGTTAAAAAAAATATGAAGATATATGATATGTAGCTGTATTAAAGTCAAAAATATTTATTACTCTTATACATACACACACACAAGCATACAGAGTAAAAAAGAAGAAACAAACGAAAAAAATGATATCCAAACACTTGTTGGAAAAGATCTATAACAGGAATAGAATGTAAACAATATAATATGTGTAGAATGCATAAAATATAATGTAGTATTTTCTCATTGACAGGAGCAAGAAATAAAATTCATGTTTCTGTGAATAAAAAAACCAGCTTACACTAATGTCCTTCCTATTATCGTTTTTTTCTTTTCCTTTCTCTTATTATTTGGGTCAATTTTAAATGCAATGATGCGATGTATAAGAATACTTTTTCTTTCTTTAGATGTTTATAGACAGCGTTAATAGATTAAAAAGATGAATGAGATTGTTGACAGACGGGGGATTATTAAACTGGCCATATGATACACTTAAAAAATAATGAAACTTTTTGCTGAAAATATCATCAAGATTTATACAGCAGAAATCCTTTCTCACCTGGCTACACGAAAAAAGAAAAAAGAAAAAGAAAGGTCAAATTGACTTTTATAATGTCAATAATAAACTGACGAGATAAATCACTGAAAATTTTCACACTAAATTCTTTATTCTGCCATCTACCTTGTGGTCTCTAAACTAAGAGAAAACCTTGTTTCATAGTAACAATTCTGCTAAAAAAAACAAAAAAATGTAAAAGATTACTTCGAAATATAAGATATAGTTTTACACATAGTTCTCTTGTACAAAAAGAATAGAATTAAGATAAAAATAAAAGTCAACCTATAGAATAAACAGTATAGAAAATACAGAAAAAATATCTCAAGAGAAACCGAATTTCGTTTAACGGTAATAACACACAAAGCAGCATAAAATTTGTAAAAACCTTTTTTTTCTTTCTAAACAGGAAAAGGAATAGAACACTCGTTCACATTTCCGTAATGCCAACAAAGACTGTTTTATTTCATCTTCTAGTGACTAGCGAGTTAACTCTATTATTATTATTATCATTGTTATATATTTTGAATACTAAATTTCCATAATTCCTGTTGTTCACTATAATCTACCATGAAAAATAACGGTACTGTCTATCTCATTTGCCAACGGATATAATAATTCCTGATTCTCTTGTTTTTGACAGATCAAAATAGATTCTTATTTTTATTGAAAAAATAAAAAGTAACTCTGTCAATTACATAGATTTTTTATTAGAATAATTGACACAATGCATTTCACATTCTATGTATCGCATACGTCCACAGAAAAAATATCTGATGACACGCTCACTAAGTTTTAGTATCTAGTTCAAGGTTAAAGTAGAAGGTATCTTTATTATGGAGGACGATAGCTGCCAAAAATGATTAAAATTAACAATCAATACTTATTCGTCGAATAGAAGATGTATGAACAAATTAATAGTGATTCCATCATGCATATATTAGATATTCTTATTTTATTGTAGGAAATCATTTTTACAGAAGGTAAAATTCAATATTTACTTTTTTAGAACTTATTATTAGTGAAAAAAAATACTATCACACTAGAAACATGTATTTTATGTTCAATGGAATTGAACTAATAGACAAACAACGTACATATAAATGACAAATTATGATGATTGTCTCTCCTTGTTCTTGCTGTTTAAAGTCTATGTAATTATGAAATTTGGTAAAAATTGTTCATTTACCGTTCGTCAATCAAAGTATATAATAATTTCTGAAAGACAAAAGGGAAAATATTACAGATTTAGTTTTTATGAAAATTTTGTCAATTATATGAGTTTAATATATAAAACATACTTAAAACTATAAGACTTTAAGACATTAAGACCTACTATATTTCTTACATTCTTCGGTTTTTCTCATTGATTGATAGTATGGTGTTTTCCATAATGTTATTCAATAACGTGTTTAACGCTGTTTCAGCCTTAATTTGCTCTGCTTATAATATAATCCTACATCAGAATAAAGAGTATAATTGCACCTATCTACTTTCTTCGTTTGTAAGATAGTATTAATTAACTATAACATTCAACATTCGGCCTTCATACATTGTAATTACTGCAGAGGGGGGAAGAGGTATTAAGGCATAGCCCAATGCGATTTTGAACTTTGTGATTTTCCCAGCTGAAAATTTGAAAAAAGGATTTTTGGCCCAGTACTTTCTCGAATTATTATAGTGTGATCCAGTCGTTTTTTTCAAACAAGTGGAGTTGGCCCAATGGTACAAATAATCCTAGTTACGCCATTGTTTACAAGTGATCACTTAGATGTTACTAGCTATACTATACATAAATGTTGTAGTTTCCTTTTGCACAATTTAGTGTAATGGGAAAATGAGTAGTTGGAGAAGTGCAACGTATGAAGGTTGGAAGATTGAATTTAGAAGAAGAACTTGTTCTAATTAATATTTCTCTTCTAAACACTATTTCTCTAAAGCGTTAATTACGTTATAAAAACAAAAAAAGTATATTGTGACCTAGATACATAAGTTTACACCTATTACCCATTTATAGAAAACACAACACTAATTTATTTTTAAATTACAAAAAAAACAAGCTTTATTCTGCTTAGACACACTTTCCAGTTACATGGACCATGACATTCTTTTTTTTGATGATGATGACTATGGGTAAAAATAGATTCAAAGCTAACAAAAGAAAAAATGAATAGTGAATGGGGAAAAATTTACATATAACACAATCAATGCGTCGTTCGAAAGATTATTCAAACTTACATTTTGCATATTTATTTGAAGGCTTTTCTACTGTGTATTCATTCCATAACAAACATTTCCTATGGTCTCTTCGTATCGACTTACTGTATAGTGTATGCAATTTATTTAATAATTCATATCTGTTTAACAATATTATAGCGTGTATTATTCATTACAAAATGTTGTGTAGAAAGCTCTTTTCAAAATAACTTTTGTTACACAAATGACAAAAAGATGCGGTTTTTGTTAGTTTATAGAAGTCACTGGAGGAAATCTAATGGTAAAAAGTTGAAGACCAAAATTCTGCCTGCATGTAGGGTACCTGATGGATCCTTCGTAGACAAGTTATGCTCCCATAGCAACCTATAGTTGCAAAACATATAGATCATACATTGCCATCTATACTAAGCATTCACGCAAGTTCGAAATTTCCATCTATCACCATTCTGCACTACACCTTGGTGTTCAATAAAAGTTTTAAAAATTAAATGGTTTTGGTTTTTGAAAGATTTTCTAGAAATCTTTCCAAGTAAGGGAATGGTTTTAACGAGTCTTAAGTACTCATCAGATTGAGAAGATAAAATAGAGTATATCTTGATATATGTTGAAGTAGTCTGGATCGATTTCGAGTGAATTATGAATTTTTTAATTTTCGGTGAAAATAGTGTAAAATGGATTATTTCGCATAGTATTGGTTTCTGCTAGGTTTCTGAAGTTTTTTTCTAAAACAAAACATTGCCATGAGATTTAGAATAGTCGAAAACCTATGCTCAATTCACTTCCGAGAATACCAAGAATCAAGGTCAACCAGTAGGGGTGCTTTGGGAGAAATTCTGCTACACTCGAACGGTGATACATCGAAGTTTCGAACTTGCGTGGATGTGTATTATAGACGTTAATGTAAGTTACGAAAGATCCATCAGGTACACCACATGCAGACAGGATTTCAGTCTTCATTTTTTTTTACTAATAGGTTTCCCCCAATGACTTCTATAAACTGGCCTATAAACTGTACCTTTTTATCATTTGTCTATCAAAAGTTTTTTAAAATGGATAATAATTAATGGCCAAAAACGTCTTAAATTGTATGAATGATGAAGAATATCAGATATAGATTAGTTAATCTTTATTTCGCTAAATGGTATGATACATTTAAAAGGAAAAAACATTTGACTAACAATACATTTAACACAAAGAAAAATGACAAGTTAAAAAGTTGTTAAGTTTTCTTGCTTCACATCTACCAAATAAATGAGAAAAAGAAAAGGTACTTTGGTGAGTGCTTTGATGACATATTTTCACATATTCAAGGACATTTATAATTAATTGTTTTTGAATTGACTACCTGTCGGTGATCAATGTAGTATCTCTGCGTTCTAAACAACTCGATCTTGTTCGTGTTAGAGAATCATCTGCATGTTAGAAAAAAAATTATTATTATTATTATTTTATAAAATAAATAGCATTTTTCTACAGTACATAGACACGCAAAACAAACAATAATTGAAATGTACTCGAATACCTGGGCGAAAACGTTTTCAGTAATAAGGTTTAGATATTTAATCGGTCTTTGTACCCAAAATTTTCATCAGTACTCTAGATAGTCACGCTGAAGAGATTTATTCAATATTAGTGTATTTTTAATTTAGTAACGTATATTCACTAAGGTCATTACTTACATCTTAACTAAAAGGTAAATTCTACGACGTAGTCTTTCACGTCAGAATAATCACTAGTTATCCTTTTCATATCATCATTCTAAGCATTTTTTTTTCGTTAAGACTTCTCGCAAGATAACCATAATAAAGATTATGAGAGAGTAACATTCTTGATTTATGAAGAATAATCAACAGTGAAAATAGACTAATACTAATTTTCATTATATTAATATATAAACATACTGATTTGATAATTTTTCGACTATTATATTACTTGACTTATTTTCGCTTCTATATCTATTTTTTAAATCAAGAAAACAAAAAAACAATAACAAAGACTGTTGAGTTTCAAGAATCTAATACATTTTTAAATATTGAAAGCACACAAACATCTAAAATACACACACATATATACAAAACGACAGATAATACTAACATTAACCAATAATTGCTTCTTTCATAAGTTCATCCTCATCGGTATTTTTATTACTCGTATTATTATTGATGAGGGAATAAGGCAATATTTCCGTACGAGCATTCAAAATTATTGAATTTCCACCACTATTTATAGACGATGAACTTTGACCACTTGTATCAATAACCAGTTGTGAATTAGGTGAATCATCATCAAAATAGTCATCGTCTATCGGTGATTGTTGTTGTGCTGGAGCAGGAAGAGGTTGGGTTTGTAAAGGATTTACTCTTGGTAGTTGTTGCTGTTGATTAAGAGTGACTTGAAGTGGTGGCTGTAACAGTGCTCGAGATCCTAACGAAGAATAATAATCATCTAAATAATATTATATGAAATTAAGAGCGTTATCTATTCAAATTTTTACTCATTGTTTTTTCATACCTTGAGAGTCTGAAATGTTCTGTTCACTTGATGCTTTTTTTAGAATTGATCGTGGAGGCATTTGTGGTGAAGCATTGTTGTTGTTGTATGGAGGAGGAGGAGGCAATAGTGTATGGTTAGAAGTGGATGGTGATGTTACTGTTTTACTTCGTTGCTGATGCCAAGATGGTCTTTGTTGTGGCTGTTGTTTATTTAAACCAAATGGTCCTACTTGACGTGGATTATTTGATAGTATTTGAGCTGCCGGAGGAGACTGCCAACTTCCTCCTATTAGCGAGTCGATGATTTTTGTTGGCGGTTGAGAAGGACGAATTTTCATTAATGATGCTGTTGACGCTCTTATTTCACTCATAACAGGAGATACAATAGTATTTGGTTTTTTCGTTGGCAAAAATCGAGCGGGTTGATCTGTGGGTTCTAAAATTACACTTATTTATTACATGTTTATTTTAAAAAAATCATTCATTTATATCATTACCTGTTTTAATTTTTGGCGCTGTGGCTTGTGATTGTTCAACATTTGCTGCTGACGTGTTACTTTTCAAACTGGATACTTTTGGAATTCGATAAGTTGTTGCTATTGACAACGAGGATGGTGAATGGTGGATAGATGGAGGAAGAACAGTTTTTGTCGTTTGTTGTTGTTGTGCACTTGTGTTTGGTACAGAACTCGCTCGATTTTGTTTAAATTCTTGTCTGATTGTTTCTTTGGAAGAAACAGATTGCGAAACTTGTTGGGTATTACTCAGACTACTCGGTGAATTTGTCAATGGAATATCGAGTTGTGGCGCAGCTGGATTGTGACGTTTTATTTTAAGAACTATTGGAGGTTTGACTTCGCTTTGAATTGAAGGTACGGTAGGTTGAGGTAGAGTTGAACGATTTACTGCCAAAGATGAGTTTGAAACAGCGGAGTTTACAGATGGGTTATTTATAGACGGCCGAGATTGAACAAGTGCACGATCTCTGTGAATGTAAACAAATGAAAATGGTGTTTTTAAGTAGAACTGAAAAATGATATCTTTTGACTACCTAATCGATGTCTCGTTTCCCAGTAAATCAGGTGTTGACATAACCTCTGTTTTGATAATGACATTTGATGCACTATTCTTTTTGGTGGCTGTCATCGGTTGTGACTGACCTGGTAATCGTTTGCGTTGTTTTTTAACGGTCGACTGAACACTTGTCATCGTCTGTTGTGATTGCTCTCCCTCAGAAATTGTTGTTGAATTTTCTCCACCTGAGCCACCCCCAACTCGTTTAATAACAACTTTTAGTGGTTTAAAATCTCCACTGCCTGAACTTGAATTTGTTTGATCAGGCGAGGATGAAGAAGATGTTGGTGTTACCACATTTGATTGGGACAAAGAGGAACTACTCTGAGATTGATGAAAGGAAGTTGACGATGGTGGTAACGGTAAATTTTGACTTTGCACTTTGAATGTACTTTTACGTTGTTTTATCGTGTTACTACCGTTTAAATTATCCTTTCGAATTCGCTTGATTGTACCTACAAGAAAAACTCAGTTGAAATTGATTTTTCACGATTCAAGAACACAGATAGCTCCGATTCTCTCTTCGATTTTGTAACAAATGCATTATCAACACCGTAAGCTCCTTGCTATCATCGTATAATCCTGTGTATTTTTTTTGAGACATTTAGAAATTCTACATCTTTCTATTAATAAACTTTACGTTATGTATTTCTTGAATTAAGGAAAGCTTACTAAGTAAAGCAATTACGAATTTCTTTCATTTTTTGCAATATGATAGCTACGTTTAGATCATTCTTTTACCTTGCTGTTGTTGTGCCTCCGCTAATTTTGTCGCTCTCAGTGGTTGTTGTTGATTATCTGCATCGTTAGACAAATTATCTTTCGATTGTGATCTTGGACGCTTTTTTATCTTTTGAACAGATGTTGATGACACCGCTGTTGAAATGATATCTGACGAAGTTGGTGATTGAACTGGACTAAAATTATTTCCATTTCCATCTTGAGATGAATTCTGTTGAGTTTGTTTATTACTACCACTGCCAAAGAATGAAGCTGGAGGCGTAGAAGGAGATAGTCCAAAGAAGGACGGGGTAGCGGTAGATTGTGTACTCGATGGAGTTGGCACAATCCCGCTGCTTATTGGAGTTTTGGGAGTTTGTGGTAGTATCAGATTCGGAGGTATATTTGATGAAAAACCAGCAGATTGTAGAGTGTCGAATAAAGGTTGTTGCTGTTGTTGAAGAGAGATAAATGAAGATGGATACGGTTTAGAATCATTCGAGCTTCTACGATAGTCTAAACAGACAGAAAATGTCCTGAGCTATTTTTGTCAGACAGATGATCTGATGTTTTGCGGAGTACGTATAGATTCAAGTTCCAATTTCATTCTTTTTAAATTGATTAGAATGTACAACTGTCATTTTTTTTATCATACTCATTATAGCGTAAAAAGACTTACCTTGTTGATAATCTTGAGATTGTTGCTGTTCGTATGATGTGGGCTTTTTTGTTGTTATAACCATTTTGAGTCCATAATCGGCATTTTTAGCTGTCATGCGAGGTGAGATGGAGCTTTCATTTGGATGATCAAACTGTGTGGCTAAAGGAGATGAATACGGTGATTCAGTTGTTGACAACGGTAGGGAACGTCGAATAAGAAGTGATGATGATCCTTCTAAATCTTGGTCTTGATCGTCCAGCGGTTGAGGAGATCCATTTAGATCTTGTACGGACGGAATTTCTCGATCATTTGAAATTGTCATACATGGTTGAGAACGTTTAAGAGAATTAATTGTACGCCATTGGGGACGAGATGTCCCAGATGACAGACGACGAGTGACGCAGAGATTTGACGAAGGTTGGTCAGCTAAAAAATATTAGATTCAAAAATTCAAAAGATATAAAATAGAACTTTTTCTTTGCAGAATATTGGTTTTCTTACGTTTATTTGGCTCGGCTATTGCTGCTGTATTATTCGATGGAGATGAAATCAATTTTGAATATTGATCTGACGATTGTGACTGCAGGGATTGTAGCGACATATTATGTGCTGTATTAACAACAGTAGATGACAGTTGTAAATTGTGTGACTGCTGAGAACGTTGTAATTGTTTCTGTCTTCTTAATACGAAATGGATAAGTTCTAAAATAGACTGATGTCTTAGAAATTCAAGTTGATCTTCTTTCTGATGTGTGGAAATAATCTTTGGATTGTAAGGATTCGATAAATTCAAAATAAATGTATATAAACAATTTGATCGACAACATGATACCGATAAACTGTCGAGTGTTAGTAAACATAATTCACACGTTATTTTGTCACTTTCTTCATCTCCTTCATCAGATTGCATTGAATTTTCACTGAAGCAGGTAATAAAAGAGAAAGTTCTATTTATTCTAATCTCAAGTTATCCCAACTCGATAAAGTTACAGAAATATTCTTGACATATTCAATTCTTATTTACTATAGTAGATAAAATTTTCGTGAAATGAAAAAACATACCTGTTCTGCTGTCGTGTAAAACATTCGTGTAATAGTAGATTAAACTGGTATTGTTTTTGAATTAATTTCATAATTTGGAGTAGTTGTGATAAATTAGTAAAGGGAATTTGTTTCACTTGAATTGCAGTCATATCTTCTGATAGATAATAATTGATATCTTCGTTTAAATTCGTCTTCATCATTGTTTGTAAATATTGTAACGTTATTAACGATGAATAGTTGTCAATATTTGTTAGAATTTTAATATCATCCACGATAGATGATAAAATTAAAAATGGTCGTCGAAATTCTAAAACAAAATAGCCAGGTAGCAATAAACTATTCTCTAATGTTTGTGGAACGAATGTAATATTAGAATTGACAGATACATCCATTAAATTATTGGTAGAAGATAATCGATTAATATGAAATTTTATAATAGATTTATGAGCTAATAAATATCGTTTGGATGTGGGTGATGGACATAAATTGATGAGAATATACAATGGGCATGAATCATGAACATTGTCCACTAAATGAGATAAATAAATGTTAAAATATTCGTAATACACAAACATTTGGTAAAAAGAGAAACAAAAAAAAAACAGTTTCAGTTGAAAGAAAAACTTGTTTAACTATTTATATAAGTTTTTGATGACTGAATCTCGCTTTCAATATACATACGTACTCAAATTATCAATTTTTGTTTCTTCATCTGTTTCTTTCTCATTTAAACGTATTCTCATTGGTAATCCTTCACAAGATAATTGAAATCTTTGCAATTGTTTGTAAATATTTTGTTTATGAAGCAAAACTAAGTCATATTCTAAAACTTTTAATGCTTTGTAGCCAAGACGTTTCGAATCATTTTCTGTCAGACAATACATAGACATATAACCATTTAAATGTTGACGAAATAACGAATAATTTTGAGATTTTAAAGCTTGACACATATGAGGACAAGAAAGTTTCTCACCTAAAATATTGTCAGAGAAGAGAAAGTATGTTTTTAATCATAATGATCAATCGACAGGATACTTTTTATTTCTCCTTTTCATTTATCTTTTCTTACCTCCTATACCATTTGTCGTTGTTGTTGATGTGGCTGTTGTTGACGAATCTGTAATACAAATGTTAACAGTTTGCAATTTTTCTTCTTCATTAAAATTAATTTCAATAAAAAATTGATCACAATGAAAATAAAGATTAGAACTATCTTTGAACAATTTTAAATTACAATACTGAGCGGCTAATTCTAATTGATTATAAAGATATTCATTTGATATGATAGATGTTGTATTTATGAGAGATGAAGAGTTAGTCTCTGTCAAATATAAATGGGATAATAGCTTTTCATAACATTTGTGTAATTGTTGATTTAAATTAGTTTTCGTGTTGTTGGAATTGTTCGCTCGTTGTTGAACGTGACGTAGAAGATCGGACCAAGATGGTGGTGGTGTTAAATATAAACGTTCAAGAGACAAATTACTTAACATAACGGCGGGATTCATAGCAAATGTTGATATTTTTTATTTTAAATCTACATCTATAATGCGAGAAACAAATATAAGTCAGTAAATCAAAGACAGAATATTCGAAAGAAAAATATCTCTTCTCAAATTTCAGAAAATTATTTGAAGAAACTCATGTTCTTTCTCCATATAAAACTATATCTTGGTTTATCATTAAAAAAAAACCATCAAATAGCAGCTTATAACAACCTGCACAAAATTGTGTAAGACTTACATATCAACCCAAAACTTCTTACTAACTTTACACCGATATGGTAATTTATGACGATTAGAATAGGAATTATTAGAAAATGATAGGACTAAATTATCTCAAAATTTAAAATAGAAATTTATTTATGAATGACACAATCTGACTGATATGAATTTAGAAGAGCTTTTTATTACTTATAAAATTTTCTACATTCTCTTAAGATATAGAAATCGGATTTCGAGAGATGTTGATTGTAGTAAAAATTGATTGTAGATATTATTTTAGTTCTAATACAATTACAAACGACAAAATAACATTCCAAAAGTATCAAAAAAAGACTATACAGTGCAGACTAATAAACTACGTGAAAAGAAAATTAACGAGGGAACATCTTCAGGCGGTAACGTCCTATTTCTTTTGTTAATAGATAGAGAGTAGTGTCATTTTTAGTAGTCATCACTTCGATCAAAAAAAAGAGTTTGGAAACACGTATATTTAAGAGTAACGAAAAAACGTAGTTAACTGAAAACATTACATGCTTGTCCCTAAGCCAGTAAAATTTGATAACTGGCGAAAGGGAAGAGTTAAAAGCCTGAAACTTTCTGGACTATTGACAGACGATTAGTATCCCTATAGCAAAAAGTTTCAGACCTTAATTCGCTATTGTTGCAAAGTTTTGAAATTTTTAGTTTTGTATGATGTATGGTTGGTGCAGGCAAAAAAAAAATTCATCACTTTTGAAAGAAGCAATATGAACAGAAATGCTTTTACGTTTTTGACTAGGACACTACTCTCTATCTATCAGCAAAAGATCATTGAAATGGAAGGTTATTACCTGAAGATATTCCCTCCTAAGCCATATAAATTATACCAACAACAGCGATGAACAAAAGAAAACTGTAATTAGTTAAATGTTCTTATCCAAGATGTTTTTGGTGTACGTATACTCGTTGTGATATATTCACGATTATCCATGAATCGTTGCAACGGTTTTGGAATATAGACTTGTTGCTCATTCTAAACAAACACAGGAACCAATAAGAGATGTCTGCATAAATTCGTCTCTTTTTCTCTCTATTTCAGAAACGCAATTGCTGTAACAGAGTAACACTTACCGGTCTCCAATTTGCCTCAATTAACGCTGTTATGACTCGTGGTAAAGCCATCGCGGTACCATTCAACTACAATATTTGCAAAATAGCTGATGAATACTTTATTCTGTAGCTGATAGTTCAAAATCTGCAGAAGACTGTGACCGGCGGACAGAGGATAAGGGGAAGACCGAGAGCTGCTAGTTCGTTTCTGGAATTTCTGACTTTCCGTCGCTGAAAATTTTCACACTGGCGAAAAACCTCTTTATGGTAAACTTTTATGTTAATTTTTCACTTCGATATTTAAGGAGGAATATATCCTTTTTACTACGCAAAAGTCTATCTTTCTTCTGGAAAGTCTATCTAAGCATTTCACGTGAGATTAAAAGTTTTCCGCCAAAACTAGACCAAAAAACAAGATTCTTGAATGACAATAGAAAACGACGACAATTTACCGTATGCGCAAAACGTTCTTCAGTATTATCATCAATATATTTGATATGTAATCTTCTACTTTGAAAATCACTACAATTCGACGCACTACTAACCTAAAACAAAGAGACAGAAACGTTTTTATTTCATTAATTTGTTGCTCTACACCGTTCTGACTTCTCCGTAAAATTGTTTAGCTGGCATCCATGCCTCAATGTCATTTTTTCTATAAGCTGACAGACCCAATTCTTCTGTCGGCATATCAAGAATTCTAAAAAAAAGAAATCATGAAAATTTGAAATCTCACGAGAAGTAAGATTGATGTCACTTCTACCTAAAATGGAGACCTAATTCACTGTATAAATCCGTTTGTATATTGACAATGTCTTCTAACATTTTATCACTAGCGCCCGGTTCATCACTTGTCACACAATACATTTCGACTTTTGTAAATTCGTGCACACGATATAAATTACCTTCGGATTTACCTCCAGCCACTTCAGCACGATAACATCGACTACACGCTGCCAATCTAAATTAAACAAAAACATATCAGTAAAGAGATAGAAGAGCAAAAACTAAACCTACTTTAATGGCAGTTCGTCTTTGCGAAATGTATTATGTTTTAGTAGTCCGGCTAAAGCCATTTCAGATGTACCAGCTAAACAGTAACGACCAAATTCTTCACCATAATCCAACTGATAAACTTGAGTGCGTTTGTCACGAGTAGGAAAACCACATGATTCCTAAATTCATTGTTAACAATTAATAACTAGTTTTTGTTTTTCAACACAACTACTCACTATTATTCCATGGTGCAGGATATCTGGTACAGAAACCATTTTAAAACCCTACATAAAACAAAAAAAAACCTGGGCATTGTATGAAGACAAGTATTCATAAAATTCGAAACACACATAATCTGTTAGTTTTTGAAATGTATAATACATAAGTGCACGTTCAAAACGAGCAAAATCGTTAAATAGCGCGTAAGAGCCACGAAACGATACTTGACCCATATTTCTAAAACAAACATATCAACATATTTATTCTGAAAAAAAGAAAAGTATCAGATTTACTCTAATAGCAACATATTAAAATCTGTGCCAATTTGATCGACGGTTCGTTGTGATACACTTAATTCTAGAGAGAGAGACCAAAAAAGTGGCTGTGAAAATCATAACTAATTTCTTCGTCTTAGTCACGTTCTCGTTCAATAACCATTGTCTTACCGGGTTTTTCTCCAACTATACGTATCACTCTTGCGTCTGTTTCACATCCAACTGGCTAAAAATTAAAATAAATCTTGCATAAGAACAAGAGAACGAAAATGTGAGATAACATATAGAGTACCTACGACTCACAGAGTCTGGGTGTGTTTGACTTGGTAATTTCATTGCTTGATTGTATAAATCTTGAATTTTCAGTTTTATTTGTTTCTGAAATGAAGCGGATTAGCAGAAATGAAAAAGAACAAATTACAGCTTACTTCTCCTTGTAGTGGATCAAGCTTTTTCTCTTCTATTCTGTGAATTAAACCTTGAATCTCTTTATATAGATTGTGCTTCAAATTAGAAAAAAAAGGAAAAAATTATTAATAATTCATCTTTCTACATCCAACCAGATAGAAAATCGTTTTTCAAAAATGTTCACGTACTACTTGTAATATGTTGGCATCGGCTTTTCTAGCAAAAATATTTTCGGCAATTGTATTTTCGTATTGTTGGTCGAGTATGTAATCCCAATTTAATTGCGCTGCTCTCAGATCAATCTCTTGATATGGATTTAGTCGATTAATGTGGCTTTTAACTTGATCTAAATAGACTTTATGATCATTGAACGACCAAACATCAAATGTCGAAGATTTTTGTTGATGAATGAAACTTTTTTGATTATGTTGCTGATCATAACGTTTAGTTAAAAAGAATAAACAATTTCTAATAGGTTGTGTACTATTGAACGGTAAGAATATTTTATAAATTGACAAAGACATGTTCTAAAAAAGGTGCAAATAAAAAATCTTTCACTAAGTGTTTGTATTAGTAAGACTAATTATGCTTTATAAAGGTTTGAAAGTCCACTGAGAGAAGTGCCCGTAACCTAGAGTGAGAGCACTCACAACATTCTGAAGAGTATTCAAACGATATCCATACAAACATTTATGATATCTAAAACGAGTTGGAGCCACAAGTCGAAGCAGTACGGATTTTAAGGTAACAGCAGCTAATGGTAACTATGTTACATTAAAAACCGTACTATTTCTGACAGCTCAGACGTACTTTTTAGCGCATCCAAAATGAAACATCTAACTCGAGCACATAAAAACTCAGTCGTCCTAAACGCGTCTGGACGCTGTTTGACAAACACATCTGATTGCGTTCTTTATAATTTAAAAGGAAAAACGCGTTCTGACAAATGCAAATGTTTACATGTTGATTGTACTCTATCGAGAGCACAGAAAATTAACGTCTCCAATAGTGTTACAGATGGTCGCCGATTAAATGACTCCTATATTTCTTTACACTAAATGCTATGTGGTGAGATTAATCATCTCTTCTAGGAACATATAATTGCTACGTACACTATAGAGAACGTATCCACTATTATTAATTAACTATTAATATAGCATATAACTATTAATTAGAAATTAAATCTGCAGAAAGAGAAAGATATATGTACGATCAGAAATAATTGAGAGACTATTTAGGCGAGAAAGTGTATAGACAAAGCTTTTAGTCTACTTTCATTTCACTCAGTCAACTTAAAAATCGATTATCATCAGACAAGCTTGAACAATAATAGATATCAGCCTTTTCGAAGGATGGAAGGAAGAATACCCCGCCTTGCAGCTGCCATTTCCAGTATAGGGTGCTACCGAATAGTAGTTTATTATAACCTGATATCTTCCCTGCAGCTGACAAACTTCTGACATGGTCGCCCTTCTCGTTACTAGTCATCAACCGCAGCTCTGGACAGAAGACTAGTCTGGCACAGCGTTCTTTCGCCCAATTACTTGAGCGATACACACTTACTAACCACATACTGGCTTTTCAGAAAGTTATGGGAACTAGCCAGAGGAACTGTATTGTACGTTACAACGTAGTGAGTGTCGGACGGCTAATCCGAGATAACTTGTCTAGGGCTATTACATGACCAGGTGACGCCGAGGTTCGAACACTACGCGTTTGACGTACGTGACGAACAACATAACCACTAAGCCATGCTTAAATGTCTTTTATTTATTTCAGTCGTTTCAGTTTCGATTAGTGTGTATTTCAGATATATCTATTGGTTCTTCATTCGCCATTAAAAAGAACAATTAGCATTCGCCATATTTGTACGACATCTAACTATATTTATGTAGTAATAATGACAAAAAACTGATAAAAAATTGTGATCACTTGCATATGCACGAAGAGAGTAAGAGAGTAAGAGCAAAGATAGACATTAACCAAGTAGATAGTCAGGTTCAAACAAGACAGCTCATGTCATATAGGCGAATACAGAGATCGTCTCGGGCCACGTTTTTACGGTCTAGTCCGTGTCCGGTCTAACGAATTTTGACCCGGTCCGGCCCAGAGTGAACGCATTAGGGAACTTAAAGAATCCAGATTTCGACTATTTCATCGTAACGAGCATCGCTTAAAACCTATCAATTGACAAAAGAAAGTTGGTGGTAAACACTCAAAACCAAAAAAAAATTCAATTTACTCTCATTAGTGCCTGAGGGGGACCAAAGGCACAAATTTTGACAAAAAAATTTTTCTGCTAAATATACATCATTGAACTCAGTTTCGTACGTTTGTTTTCTTAATGTATGTAAAAAGCGGAATCGAACGGTATATGACTCCAAGAAAATGTAAAGGGAACACTAAGCAGGGGGGAGTAGAGGAAAGTTTTTTCAATTAAAAGTAGCTGCTTACAAACTTTATTCAAAATAAACACGATATTCATAATCTACGTACAAAGCGGAATCGAATGATGTGATTTTCTGAAAAAATGTTTTCGTCATAACTTCTTTCCCTTGGTTCCCCTCAGGAATCGAGCGAAATTTTTAGAATTTCTATTCAAAACCAATACTATATTCGTAATCTACGTACGAAACTGAGTTCAATGATGTATATTTAATGTATATTTAGCAAAAAAAAAATTTTGCCTTTGGTCCTCCTCAGGGCTAATGAGAGTAAATTGAATTTTTTTTGGGTTTTGAGTGTTTGCCGCCAACTTTCTTTTGTCAATTTATAGGTTTTAAGTGATGCTCTTTACGATGGAATAGTCGAAATCTGGATTGTTTAAGTTCCCTATAAAGGGAACTTGTTCCCAAGTTTTGAATAAGAAACGTGGAACTAGGACCAGAGGCGCAAATAATGGGAGGGTGTGAGAGGGTGCGCATCCCCCGAATAATTGAAAAAGTTGGTGTTATTTTATCCATTACTCGCACAAATTTTTTTTTATCAATTTCACACTACCTCAGAGAAATTTTGGTTTACGCCCCCCTAATGTTCGGCTCCTATTTGCAGCCCTGACTAGGACATTGATCTGTTTTATTACTGAATAAACAACAAAAAACTAGATTACAAATAATAAAATATTTTTGACGCAATTTACTATATTAGAAACAAAGAAATTGTGCGTCGACAAATTCGATAAGTATCAATTATTTTTAGTACATTTTTAAAATTCAGAAAAAATCACCAATAAAATTGAAAATAATAGTAGAAACAGAAACTAAAACAATCACATTCTTTAGATATTAAAATTAAAAATATTGATTTGAACACAATATGAGATATAGTTACAAAATGAGCACATCTGGCTCAAACTAAAACAGCAAAACCTAATACTAATACTATCCATAAAAAGCAGAAATAAATGTAAAAATAGAAGGGATTCTAGTGTCAGTGTGATTATGAATTTTGTTGATGAAATTGTAAAATTGATCGGAAATTACCAACTATATATGTCCAACTCGACGAAAGTAATTCTATGTCACGAAGTAATTGTTTACAACAATGAAATTCATCTGAATTAACATGAACCTAAAGCAAATACACTCATCGAAAAGAAATGGCAATTTTTTACACTTTTTTTCTACTTACACGTAATGGAATTTTTCGAGTGTTAGTCAATAGTGTTTTTAATTTAGGTAGAAGTTTTGTCCATTCTTCGAGCAGATCTACAAAGAAGTTATTAGATTAAATAAATTAGAACTAACGAACAGAGGAATAAAAAGTGAATAAGGATACACCCATCCAATAGTTAAAAAATGTTTAACTTCCCATTCTCCAACTTCTAGATCCTCATTACCTCTCTGCAAATAACTCAGATTATTCGCTTACCAGTTATTGACGTCGATTGTTTATTATCATGTTTTTTTGATTGATCATTTTTATTCAAAACACATGTTCGTACGGTCATAGTTGATCTTGTTGTATTTGGACTTAATACAGGAATACGAGACAATTGTTTTTTTGATTTTGTTACTTGTAGTTTTTGATCATCATCTAGCATACACTTTGGATCTACATGAACAATACTTATTTCTTGATAAATATGTTGTTCACTTTCTTTTAATCTCAACTGTTGATCGTCAACGATTGATTTAACTAAACAAAAACAAAAACAAATTCAAAAAACAACAACTAGACAACGAACTAGAACAGTCATCGCATTCTCATACATGTTTGTTGATTAAGTTCGTCGCTATTTTCATCGGCTGTTGGTAATAAACCTATTTGCATTTCTTTAAAACTCTTATTATTCTCATCGTTCTTTGAAATTGATGAAATATGATAATGATGGTGAGCTGCTGTTATTTTGACAGAGTTTTCTAAACGATAAATGTAATCATCGACTGGTGCTAATAAATTACAGCTATTATCGCTCAAATGTTTTAAATCATTAAATGATGAATGACGACTCGTAACGACTTGCATGGATTCACTTAATACGCGATTTGCTAAAACAAAATAAATCAAATCAACAAACTATCCAAGACTGCAAGGAAATAAATTAAAAAGAATTACTTTTAAGAGAAAAGAATAAAAGATTCTGATGTAGCTATAGTTTTAATGTTCATCCTCTACCTCTACTCCTCAATCCTCTTTGTTAGTATGAAGAAATTCTCAATTTTTTTAAAAAATATTCAAAAAATGTGTATAACATACGATTTGTAAATGTTAATAAATCAGTGATGGATTGATCCAGAAATGAATCGGATTGATGAGTACATCTTAGAATATCAATTCCATCATTATTGTCATCTATTATTGAATCAAAATATTTTCCATCACATGCATATTTCTCGGCAAATGTTGACAACGATTTATTCACAATTATTTCATCTGATATAGCAGGAACACGATGAAGTTTTTTCGTTTTTGTTTTCATCATGTGTTCATTTGGTGTTGAATTATTATTATGGTTTTTTAATTTATATTTTGTGAATGTTTTGTAACGTGGATCAACATGATTCAATGAAGGTGATGGTGACGTTAAATTTGTAATATTTAACAGAGCACTCGGTTGAGATGAAGACAATGAATCTGATAGACTGGCGTATTGTTCAGTGTATCCATTTGAGTATAATGTAAACGTCTTATTTAATACACGTTTATTAGACATTATCTAAAACGTATAGTCATAAACAACAAAGTTTCTTAAGTTTATTTACACATATTATAGGATTTAGAAATATTTTAATTATGACTCTATTTCTGTTTAATGAGATTCGTCAACTTTACTTTTCTATAGTTGCCACATTGCGAACAAATATATACAGAAACAAACGGACATTCTTTTCATATAAATATATACACTTATAGTAAAAGGAACTGTTAAACTTTATCTAGCATTGTAATAAAAAACCAGCGATTAAGATTTATTCGTATGTTTTGCTTACGCAATAATGTGTAAGACTTTCACAAGAAATCTTTCAACTTGGTCATTGATATTGTACATGATAAATTTATCGTTACAGTCTTTAGATGCTATGACGAGAGAAGGT